GCTGTGTGGGCGACTCCTGTATTTATAGCTTTGAGTCATTGGCTGGAATGGTGTAAGTCTATCTCTCCATCAGCATGCTTGTTCACTTAAGAGGGCAATCCATTAGAAAAACGTTTCACAACTAATAAGTATAATAAACACACAAGTTATTAAAGGCCTGATATTTACATAGACCATAAAAGAGACATAACCTTTTTTTTCCTTTACTGTCACCATAGCAAACCAAATTTCCTTGTGTAAGTTAAAACGGATCAACAAAATAATTAGTTTTTGCTAAATACCTCAACAGTGATGGAAAATATGTTTTTCAGAGATTTACATTGTTATTTATTAGAATGTCTTTGAGGAATACCACTTGGGTTAAACCGTTTATATATTATCTTCACAAGCTTCTTATTATATTCTATCCTCATATTTGCTATGGGATTGAGATCAGGACTGGCATATGATCATTCTAAATCTAAATCATTCTATTTTTTTTGTGCCTCTGCCACTTTGCAACTAATTTGGAAGAATGGTAAAGGTCTCTGTTAGATATGGGTTTTAACTAAATTCTGAGCTTGCCGAATTGTGGGTTGATCTTCAGCACCATCTCATAGTCATAATTAACTTTAATCATGTGTTTTAAGTCACTTTTCAAACTTAAAAGTATATACAAGTGTATATGAATTGTGCAGTTACATCTAGAGTACCTTCATGTTTCACTTAAAAGCCGCACCCACTAAGTAAAAAAAAAAAGAAAAAAAGAAATGGAAATGTACATGTATAAGCCACATCTGACTATAAGCTGCTGATATCTACTAAAGTGTCTCCCACAAAAACCTGTAGGGGGAGCTCTACATACCGTTACGTACCCCTAGAGAGTAGGGGCGAAGAAGAATGCTAGATTCTGTTAGCCTGTTGGGGCTTTGCCAGCTCTTTATTTCAGTTCTGCGAGAGTTACACACAGTCTCTTCATTGGTTCAACAGCTTTAATGCAGCAAATAAATGTCAAAATGTTTGAATTTGGGACATTTGTTCTCCGTCATGCCTGCCGATAGCATTTGTTTGTGCTTAATGAAGATTACCCCCTTGTTCTTTGATTTACGTAGCCTGACGGTTATGAAAAATCTACAGAAAAGCTGCACCTTCTTTTAAGCCTCGTGGTTCAAAGCATGGGAAAAAGGAGGCGGTGTATAGTCCAGAAAATACTGTATTAAATACATTATCCAGAAACTTAAAGACATGCTGGTGTCATGATCTTGGCACTGATGGCTGGCCTAATTACTCACTCCTTTCCTGTCTTTCTCTGCCTGGTTGTTCATTACTGCTCATCTAATCCACCTGCTCCCGCTGATATTTATATTGGTCAGACCCAGCCATTGGGGAAAGATTGTTGCTCTTGTTCTTATTCTCGGGGGCCAGTGGAGAGGGTTTTTGGCGTTCCGTTGTGTTTCTAATTGCTTGACCCTGATCTGCCTCTCATCACTGAGCGTCCCTGTTCCGTTCTGTAAGTTCTGCCTGAACTGTCTGTGGACTCCTGGAACCTTGAACCAGCCTGTTCCTATTTGGATCGGTATCCCTGACCAGGCTTCGGACTCTTGGACCTCTAAGCCTTCCTGTTCTGATGTGTTTCCCTGACCTGGCCCGGATTTCTGAACTACATCAAATTATAAGCTGAAAATTGTGCTTTTTTAACAAAGTGGTTTTTTTTCACATTCAAACCTAAAACACTTTACTGTTGAAGCGATAATTCTATTCAATTCAGTTTATTCATATAAATAGTACCAATTCACAACACCGTATCTCAAACTTTCTTTTAAAGAGAATCAACTGCGTGCATCACGTCATTAAATTGTAGGACATGCTCCACCTGGATGACCTTGAGGCGAATATATTGACTCCTCAGCAATGCCTCACACTGAGAGATTAAAAATGTTAAATATAATGAAGTTGTTCAGAATAATGGCTCATCTGCAGAAACTTGTCAGTTTGTATTCCCTGCTTGGATTGAGCCACAAAGAGATTTCCCTTTTTTTCAAGATTATAATAATCATTAGGGGTTTCCTGATTCGATATTAATATCCGATTTTGGTCTGATATTAGACAAAAAACTAATAACAAATTATATCGGCAAGCATCTTAATCTCCAATATTGTCATGCTGATAGAAAAAGACGGCTTTTGTGTAAAGGTTCTGTAACCCATTGGTTAATATTTCAGCAGTCAGTTGTTGTCATAACTATTATTGTTGACTATTATAAGAGCACATGATCAAGCCTTTAATTAGGTTATAAAGTCCAAGATAGGTTAATAAAAGCATGTATGATTCATGCTCATATAGTATTAGGTCAATATTGCCATTGGTCAATTCTCAAACCTTCAATATCGGTGTCGTATCAGAAATAGAAAAAGTTGCATCGGGACACTCCTTCATAATCATGCGTACACTTAGAAGTTACTCAGAACACATGGAGCTTTAAGGAGGAAAACAATTCTCACTGATCAACTGGAGATGGAGGGGGAGCTCCACTGATACAAACTACCTGAACCTCTTCCATGCAGGCCAAGCAAAGTTACATGAGATATTTATAGATATAACTGGATCCATAAAGCAGAGTAAAGATACATTTACAGAAAAATCACATTAAATAAGGCATATTGGCATCTATGACAAACTGAAACCTTTTCAATATATGCTAAACGGGAAATGTTTGCACAAACAATGTCATTATTAATTTGTCATACAGGTAAGACAATTGGAATGATGCAGTATTATATTGATTAGATATTGAGAGTATATTATATTACTAATAAGTTAAGCCTCTGTATCCTCAGGGAAAGATGGTTATTCAGACAGAAGGTTTAGAGTATCTTAAGTCACAGAGGGACAGTTTGTCCTTTCAAATACATGCTGACATGATTTGTAACAAAGCCCTACAACGCCTCCATCTCTCTGGAAGTTGAGGTATTTTAGAGTTGGCACAGAGAATATCAACCCTGTGTTTTTTGATCCTCCAAAATAAAAACACTAGATGTTTGTTTTCGGTATCGAATATATATTATCTAGATTATAATGGTTCTTATGAAGAGATTATGAAGAGATTAAGTTAACCTCTAATGCAAAGCAAGCTTACAAGGTTTTGCTGAGTGTCAGTTTTCCACCTCAGAGGTGTGATTTCAAGGCCTAGACCTTGTGTGAGAGTTTATATTTCAGTGGGTGGAGAAGTGATAGTCACGATATGATGGGTTTATGAAGTGGCAACGTAATCACAAGGTCAAATCCTAACTAGTGAATGCATCCATTCCAAAGATGTGTAGAGCTGATAATCCCTTATGATTTAGAGGTATGAATATATTTTAGAAACATCTCTGCAAAAAATGAAAAATCTATCCTATTTGACCGCTGTCTATATGTGTTTTATATGTTACGTATTGCATATTTAAAAATCCCTTTTCAGCTAATTTTGTCTCATGTAAATTCCTTTAAATTTAGTTTGGCACTATCTGTATGTGCTGTATTTTTTATGGCTCCCTAAGCTTTGTCTCAAACCACCGAGACAGGAGCTCTGGCCAGACGAGGCGGTGTCAGGTGCTTCACATTTCTGACGTGATGTGTGGCTGAGGAGACTAAGTTTAGACAGTGAGTGCATTCATCAGAAACTGAAGAGGCAGCTCAGCCTCTCAGGGTCAGAGCAACCAGCAGGAGCTTTCCACACTGAGAAGCAGATAAAAAAAAAAAAAAACTCAAAATAAGATTCCTCATTGATTCCAGCCACATTTAATCATTATGTTTTTTGTTGTTTTCTTTCCCGCAAAGATCCAATCATTTCTTTTAGGCCTTTTATTGTAGAGAAAAAACAAACACAGATTAAGAAATAATTTCAGCGTAATCTCCAGTTAGTGGCGTGATTATTGATTTAATTACTCACAGTCTAATGCTTCTTTAAAAATAAAGAACCATTATAGTTCAGTAATTGTGGTCTCATCATATCTAATAATGAAGTTCAATATACAGATTAATAATGATCTGATAGATTATTTTATTCAGGAGGTCCTATTCCACCATCTGCTTTTCAAAACCTGAAAGCAGACACCTTTATGTCAATGTTTACAAGTTTTAACTGAAAATAGAGTAACAGGAAGGATTGCACCCAATCTGTTTTTTAAACTAGGGTCTTCTATTAACATATTGACAAATGAAAATAAAATAAAATAAAATGTCAACTGGCACATAGTTTTAATTTATATTATTTGTCATACGTTCCCAACATTTTTTAATCTATGAGCACATGGTCACTTCATTATTAGTTTTTTGTTTAGCTGTTGTTACATTTCACAATATTTGTTAAAGTTCAATAAAAAGAAAAGTTTTGAAAAAAACTGTTATTAATTCATTCATAAACCATCCTTAATTAATTAATTTATTTATTTTTGATAAATTAACTTTAAATCCAGAATTTATTAGATATGTCATATTAATATTATTTAATATTTCAGTTGCTTTATGTGCTTTTCTTTTTCCCATTTTGTTTTAACCTTTTTTTTTTGGATAATATTATTATTACTAGGGATGTCCCAATATATAAACATCGGATATCGGTCCAATATTAGCCAAAAGAAATATTATCGGATTTTATTGGCCAGTATCTAAAATCAAAAATATTTTCATACTAATAGAAAATATCTGCTTCTTTTGAAAGTTTCTACTTTAGTAACATTACTTGTTTAAGCCTTTCCGAGCATTCTAAAATATAAAATAAGTGATAAAAGCAGGTATTATTTGTGCTAATATTGTATCGGGTAAATATCGGTATCGTATCAGAAAGTAGAAAGTTGTATCAGGACATTCCTTATTATTACAGTTATTTCTGTAAGAGATGTTTTTTTTTTTTACAGCGCTGCAGAGCATAAACATATGACAAAATCCTCAGACAGTCAACTTTAGGGAGGTTAGAAAATTCCCCCACTTGCAGACTGACTGGGAGCTCCATTAATGTGTCTTATTTTCCCACCATACAGCATAAGAGCACCATCACTGGACAGCACAGAGAAAAAGGGCCTTCAGGCAGGTGTTCAGCTACCAGGCAATGTGCAGACTGGACCTCAGCAGCAGAACCAGCTCCTCCTGACGCCAGCAAGCCTCCAGCTCGCTCAGCTCCAGGCCCAGCTCACCCTCCATCGACTCAAACTGGCTCAGGAGGGAAACACGGCCAACGCTGCAAGCATCCTCAATCAGTTAATCTCCAATGTCAACATGTCACAGCCTATGTTAAATCAATTAAGGAATTCATCTCTGGTCGGTAATCCACAGGGGGCTTTCCCCACTAGGATGATTGGTTTCCCTTCTTCAAACTCAGTTGTTGGGACCTTGGTGGGTGGGGGATTCAACCAAAACTCAGGGAATGTGAGACTGGATCATCCTGGTGGAGGGGGGGGTAAAGGTCAACACGGTGGGGAGTATGGAAAAAAGCCTGGATCAGCTTACTCCTCTGGCACGGACAGATGTGTTCAGTACAGCTTACCTGGAGGAACGTCTGCTGAAGAACAGTACACAGGGATTCAATCTCAGGCCAAAAACATGAACAACGTTGGCTTTCACAGAGACTTTTATGGGCAGGACATGCAGGCAGAGCCGGCTGGGTTTATCTCCAACGAGCAAATGAACTCCACTGCACACAAGGAGCAATGGAAAGGCCATAACAACTTAAACCAGACTGGGACGGTGAACATGCCTTCAAGCAATGCGACAGCACGGCCTTCAGCTGGGCAACCGATTTGGCTCAGGACAGAACTATACAACCCAGAAGAGCCGACCCCTGAACCCAAGCTAAACTGCTACGGCGGGGTTTCCTCTTTTGGCTCCAGCAGCACTCAGGGCTTCGGAAACTACCAGGCTCTGCACGGAGCTCAGGAATCCTTACCGTCAGCTACTAGGACCCTACAGCCCCATCAAGTCAGCGATTATTGTGGCGTCACACCCTCTCAGCTGCCACATCAGTGCAGCATCTGCGACAAAAAGGTCTATAACCTCAAGGTGAGTATAGGTGTACTGTAAAGGTGTACTGTGAGGATTTAATTTTCAATTATTAAAAAAACCTGCTCTTTCTAATCAATGTGAAGCAACTTCAGAACGATATGGTTTCTTAAACCACAATGGAAGATTTTATAGTTTTTTTTTTTTTTAAGATTTTATACTGTTTTGTGAAAAAAAATCCACTTTTGTCTTTACAGCTTTAAGCTTTCATAGTAAGAACAGAAAGCCTAATGCTTGAAAAAATGATTTGTCTATATTATATATAGTTATAGATATTAGAACTTATCATTTGGTTGTAATCTCTTTGTTTAGACTCCATAGAAATGTTAGATAAACCTTTGTTTAAAAATGAAAACTCCTTTATCACCTTAGATAATATTTTCAGTGTTCTTTGCTGTTTGATTTAAATTTAACATAGAGAATTGGTGTTTTTTTTTAATACTTAATAAAATCAGTATTAGACAGACCTTAGTGTGAGGAGCAATAAATATAACCACTGGTTATATGTGCATATTTTAACTAGAAAATTAAAATCCTACATTTGAAAATTATTCAAATATATTATTACTGGAGACAGAATTATTTACAGTTCATGTGTGACTTTGAAGGATTTTGACCAATTTTCATTTAACCTATAATAATCTGAAACAGTTATCCGATTTGCAACATAACTCAAAAAAGCTGGGATTAAAAATTGGGAATCTGGATGCAACCAGTGCAAAAAAAAAAAATTATCACATTGATGATCAGTTTTGAACAGAATAATGTGTCTGTTGATATTTAATCAAAACATGGTACTTCTTTATTCATTCTCAACAAGAGGTTGATAGAAAAAAATATGCATGCAATGAAACCCTCCATAATTGCTTAGTGTTTCTACTAATGTTGAATGCATCTGTTCAATGTATCTTTAATGATGAGCTCCAATTGTATAAGTTTGCAAGGCCTCCCTGCCATCACCCTAATCTGTAGCTCCATCCAGAGATTCTCCGCCAGATTTATGGCTCAATGCAAAGCATCAAAGTTGATTCCAGTCAGAAGAATAGTGCTTATAAAAATAAAAGTCTACTCTAAACTGTAATCTTTCATAGGTATGAATAATATTATTCTTAACTGTAAAATTATTAAAACTAAAAAGACATTTTTGGACATATTAAGGCCAGAAGACTCTTAAATCTTGACCCTAAGCCTCTGATTACTGATTACATTTTAAAGGTTAATTTTAATCTTTCTGATGCATTCGAAAAAAATCTTCAACACTGAAGCAGGTCAGTTAGTGAAAAACAAAGACCTCTAAACAGCTTTCCTCCTGGCCATGAAGGGCAAACAGTGTTCGTCCGGCAAGCTTTAAGACTATGTTTGGACACAGTATGAGTGTTTTTGTGTTTTTAGGACTGGGACCAGCATGTGAAGGGAAAACTGCACCTGCAGAATCGAACTTTGTATGCTGCTGACAGGTGAGTTTTTACCCAAACACGTTTTATTTCCTACATTTATAACCAATATTCACTTGCAAAGCATTTCTATTCTATAATAGCACTCTTCTTTGCCTCTTTGTAGCAATAAACACTGCAGTATTTTTTACTGTTAGGGGTATTTCTTCTTCCTCGCTTTTGCTCTGCGAACAGCTGTCTGAATCTTTCTACATTATGAGCTCTGTCACCAGATATGAGTGAGCAAGGCAGGGGAGAGGCAGCTAAAATCAGCCTTGTGTGATTGTTGCAGCTCAACAGCAGCATCGGCCGGAGCCCCTCAGTATGCCGTCGGCAGGTCATCTGAGGGAAGTCTGAACACTGGAGGGACGAATCCCACAACCTGCCCCAAAGCAGGTCAAGGTAGGTTCTAACTTCATCATCAACGCTTCAATCTTAGTTTTATTTATGCTGATATGGGAGCAATGCTTTTAAAAAAAAATCTAGTTTATAGATTATTGCTTGCAAATAGATTTTAAAACCAAAAACAACCCAAAATAATGATCATAATTATTGATATGATTAAGTTATAGAAAAAAAACTCACTAAAGAGCTGAGGAGTACCCCCTATTTCCTTCAGCGTTCCGTATTATATGCTTTATGTTATACAGACCACTGGTGGCTGGTCCAGACGGCATGACAGACGGCTTGTGCCAAACTATTAATGTTGACAATATCCAAGGGACATGACTTTGAGGAGGCTCAGTTTCACTCAGACAACACGTGATACCTGAGCCTGACTGCATGTCGGCTACAAATAAGTTATTAAAAAGTATCCTGAACAACTCCTCTGGTCATTTGAAGATACTGTGCCTTCTAAAACTATTGACACCCCTTTTCTCTACTGGGTTACATTTCATTAGGTTAGAAAACAAAACCAATAATATATTTTAATTGGATTTTATGTGAAAGGCTATCCAAGTAGTGTTTATACCTAGAGTAGAAGGAAAGGATACCAGAATTATTAACGTTTGAAACATGCACCCCGCATTTGCAGACCCATTTACTCTGATATCCCAAAATAAAATGAAATGTGACTAATTTCCTTTATGAGTCACCAGATTAGTGAGAAGTAGCCTAAGTGCAAATGCAGCTGTTCTGTGAAAGCTTCAGAGGTTTCTAAGAGAACATTAGTGAACACAGAGCATCATTAAGAATAATAAATACAGGTCAGGAACAAACTTTTAGGCTGGTTGATGTTACAATACTGTAACTTAATTTTTAAACCAAACCAAAATCAAACTCTTTGGTCTTCATAGAAAACACTAGCCGAGGTTTAAGACTAAAAATGCAGATCAGCTGTTTGGACACAGCCTGCATGGTGGTGGCCTGATCATGCTGTGGGTACCTGTTTTGTTGAGCAAGACAACAAATCTGGTTGGATATGATGGAACCAGTCTGGTGGGAGAACAGGCAAGGCAAGAGTGGAGGAAAGTGTTTTAAAGCACAAAGACTTGAAATGTGAAATTTGACCATCCAGCAGGATCCAGTCGATAAACAAACAGCTAGAGCTACAGCAGAATGGTTTGGATCAGAACATCTTCATCTATGACAATTACCCCAAATTCACTCTAAAAAGAAAATGCTGCTCCAACTTAATTGGGTTGCTTCAATTGGTAACAAGTAATTGAATCAAGTTGATCCATCTTATTGTTTTAAGCCTACAAGTTGAATACTTAAATAAATTAAGTTTTGGAAACTTAATTCAGTTACTTGTTAATAAATTCTGTTAAGTTGGCAATTACTTTATGTTGGAGCTTAAATTAATTGAACTAAGATTAAGACAACCAGGACTTGAAAAATATTTTTTTTTCTCTTTTGGCACATGTACTCATAATTACTGGCTATCCCAGGCAATGTCCAAAGTTGGTCCTCAAGGTTTGCTGTCCTGCAGCTTTTAGAGGTTTCTCTGCTTCAGCACAGCTGATTTCCATTGATAGCTGATTAACAGACTTCTGCTGAACTACAATCATCAGAATCAGCTGTGTTGAAGCAGAGAAACATCTAAAACCTGCAGGACAGCTGCCCTCGAAGACTCACTTTGGAAATGCCTGTGTTTTCCCTACAGGGACCAAAACTGCTCAGAAACAATAAAACAGTAACAAAATTTTGCCTCCTCCTTAAGATATCTATTCATACTCATATTTTAACTGTTGGAAAATTCAGAATTTTAAATCTATTTCTAAAAGGTAATATTTCTTGATTTAAGAAAAGAAAAGATCTTGAATATTTGAATAAATTTGTCCAAAAAAACAATTCCACTTTTTCTCTTCAAGGGACTAAAAGGTCCTTTAAACTCCAGAGATAGTCATACTCAGAAAAAAACTCAAGTTGCTGCTAAAAGATTAATACAGAGAACAGAATCAATTTGTGATGTTTACGAGATGCTCTGTGAAGGAGATTACAAACGAAACTGGATTATATTCCTGACATATATATTTGATATGTTCCTTTAACAGATGTTTGCTCAGGAACCAACGTGCAATACTTGCCAGCTGGAGCCATGAAAACTTATCCTGCATCAGACGGAGTATTTGCCTCCCACCAGCCCGACTCAACGGTCAGATGAATGTTTTCATTTAAGCTATTTCTTAACAGTTATTAATGGTTTGCGATGAGCTTTTCATTTGTTTTGACACTTTTTAGGTGGTAGAAGAGACATAAGGGAACAGCTGTTATTCACCAAGATAAAACCTGAATTTTTCTTTTCTATTAAAAATCCACCAAAAAAACAAAACAATTATACTAATATGATCTGATATCTGCAATTCTAAAAGCCTTTTAGGAATGGCTTTTCTCAAGTTTACAATAGTTACATGCTGTGTTGCATATATCCCCATGTTTCTTCAAATATCTTATATTCCTGTGAAAAATAAAACACATAAACAGTAAGCAGGTAATGTTCTCCATAAGTAGTACACAAGGTTTTTTTTTTTATAATTCGAGGCATGCAGCTTTGTTCATTCTTTTTTCCTCTCCATTTTGAGGAGGATAAATTTTTTGTTAAATTAAAATCTAAAATTGCAAAATGATTGACTTTATTCTAAAAGAATTAATGAATAATTATTTAACTCTAAATTTTGCCTGTAAACCCCAACATCTCTGAATCTCCAGTAATTTTCTCCAGAGCAAAGCTGCAAACAGGTATTGCTTTTTAAGCAGTGTCACAGTCGGCTGGCTTCTTCTTTAAAACTGTTGGACCAGGACTGGGGAACAACTGCTGTTGATAGATGTTCATCATGCAGACGGATGTCTGAATAAGCACACAGCAGATGATCGGTGAGGTGAAAGGAGCCCAGAATGAGCCCTGCCTAACTTGCAGACAGAGTAAATTCGAGCGCAGCATGGAGCTGTCCACAGTCTGTGGACTGACATATGCACACAATGACAGGCTGCTTATTCTGACACCAACACACAATACAAATACAACTGTATGGTCTTTATTTAGTTTTCTTAAATGTTTTTGTTGAGAAAAACTGCCTTCTACAGAGTATTTTCTATTAATGTATGGGAAATCCCTTTTTTTATTATTCTTTTTAAATATTTTAGTAAGAAAAAGCAGTTGAATATTTACATCTCAAACTAGAGATAAAACATATTCTATCCATTCTTTACGTTTTCAGGCATTTTAGGTATCTGCTGAACTTGTTGCTATAGTTTAGTGTTTGAAGTGAGCTTTTTCTATTCTAGAACTATTTTCTATTTTCAAAGATGACCAAGATGCCTGTGGGTGTTTTTGATGTGGGTGATTTGACTCACTGCCCAGAGCCGTAAGCTGTGAAGAAAGGACATTTCTCAATTTGTTTCACTTTGAACAAACACTATATTGATTTATATTGCATGTTCAGTATTCAGTAGGGATTGCTCCTCCTATGGTTTGCAGTGGAGAACAGTGGAGTTTAAGCACTGCAAAAAAAGTGTCCATACTTCACAAATGAGTTAGCATGCTAACCTTGGTCTGATATTGGTATTAAAATTGTTTTGTTTTGTTTTGTTTTTCCAAATAGGAACCACCACTAAATGGTGGTAGAAACAATATTACAATGGGAACCCCTAACAAGTGCTGTTTCAACAGAGTAGTTTTTTTTCTTCACTGCATTTGCCTTCAATCAGATGTTCAGTCATGTTCAATGAACTAGAATATACAATGATGCTTGATTGTTGGATTAAAGCACATTTTGCTACCTTAATTGATCTGATGTAATATTATAATCCCGAATGCCCTAAAATCAACATAATTAACTCAAAAGAAGTCTTCAATTAACACAAAAAAAGTCGATTTAACTGTTATTCTAACAGGTAGCAATAATTCAGACCAACTTGGTCTTTATTATGTAAAATACAAAAAACATAAAACAACAAAATATAGATATAGATAAGGATAGAGGAGAGAACATTTTGTTTTTTTGTACCACTAAAGCAAAGTTTAAATTTTATTTGTTTGAAGTCAACCCAGAGAATAGTTTCCTTACAAGAAAATTCAAGTATTTTTTTGGGATTTAGAAAACCCTCCATGAGGGATTTTTATTTTTCATTGCATCCTTAACCTCTTCCCCAGATGCTGCACTTATGATTTTTGGGGGTGTTTTTTGTCACTTTTTTGTATGTTTTTCTTTTTTTAACTGAAGATAAGATACCATCTACTGACAACAGCTTTGCTTACTAAAAAGTCTCTTGCACAGATTTACTCTGTCATCAAGCACAAAGTAACATTTCTACATAAAAAGCAGTCATTGTGGATAATATGCATATGATAGACTAGACTTCCTCTTTTGATGTCTCATTTAGGACAATGTATGGGGAGATATTTTAACAAGTATAAAAATAAATCTGTAGATTACATGTAGATTATGGTTATTTTCCATCTGCACACTCACTTGTATGTTTCCTTAAGACTGTTGGAACCATAACTTTATCAAATATAAACAAAATATTTACATTTATTTTATGAAACCAAAAATAATAAGAAAAAAAATATTGTAGATATGTGATGGACCTTTCCAGGGTGGGCCCCCTTTTTCCACAGAGACTGTATATAGGCCTTCTTTGATGCACACATGGAAGAAAATAGATGAATGAAAAATAAATCTGCAAAAAAACACATGTTGGGAAAACATTTAAACTAATGGACAAGCCGTATAGATAAAAATAAGGCTAATAACTGTGAAACAGATCTAGACTCAAATCAATATGATCTACGTTGAAATAGTTATATTATGAAACCACAGCTTCCTTTTTCCTGGTCTGATTCATATTATTGGATCACTTGATTTTTGTTTTATTGTAAAGGTTTTATTGTACACGTGGGACAAAATGTACAAGCTGCGCTGCTAAGGCTAATGTTAGTTCCCTGGAATGCCACCCGTCTGAGGCAGAGGCAGGATTTTACTACCTTGAAAGCTTTTCTTCTTACAAAACATTTGCACACACACCAACAAAGTACAACCAACCTAGAAGGTAGATATTTTACTCTTTTTTTTTTTTTTTTAGAAATGCACATAGATTTTAAAGGTAAAGGTTATATTTTTTCATAATAAATTAGGGGTTTTTTTACATCTTAAATCACATTTAGTGCTAAACGTGTGTTTATTGGCATTGCGGTGTCTATTGGTCTAACACAGAAGCTTCTGTAGCTTCTTGAAACAGAGCAGCGATAAACACTGGAGTACATCTAACCACTGTTTGAAAGACCAACCTGGAGACTTCTGGGTCGCACCCTCGTACCGCGGTATAAAGTTTCAGACCCGTGAGAGACTGGTAAAGCAATCAGAGGAGCTGGCATATGAGCAGTGTGTGTATGAGCGTAAGGGAGAAACTGCAAAAGTAAAGAGATTTTCCCCCTGGATCAACCAACACAGATGCTCTATACCAGGGGTGTGCAAAGTGCGTCCTCTGGACTGATTCACGTGGCTCCCAGGCTGCAGTTCAAAAACGGTGCAAAATTATTAAAGATAAATTCAAATCTTTTTACAAAGGAAACTGTTGGGATCCACACACAGAATTAGTTTGATAGCCACACTGTTTCCCTTCTCTTAAATTTCATAGTAAATTGTTATTTTATTTTATATTTTATACCCAAAACATACTTTGCAAACCAAAACTTGCTTTAAATAAATATTTTAACCTCAGCTAAGCTGAATACAGCATGCGTGTTTGAAGAAAGAGAAGCTCAAATCCGGTTCCTTTTGCCAAGAAAAGACTAATTTCTTCCAATTGAAGAAGATAACCTAAATGCCTGTAAAGCAAACAGGGAATCCTTTTTAAAGGTTTGGATCTGCAATGATTTACATTAGTTTACCTCTAGTCGGTTGGTGACAAATATCTTTTCGCACTGAGCCTCACTCTGGTTCTGCTTGAGTTTTCTTCCTATTCAGGGAGGAGTTTTCCTTTCCATTGACCGTAAATACATCCTCACTGCAAAGAGCGTCTCTTCCCTGTTGCTGCATGCTCATTCAGGAGGACAAAATGCTGCAGTCAATAACTTTTTTTATTTTTTTTTAAGATGTTTAATGGAACATTACAGGGACAAAACAGGCATGCAAATAACAATCAGACAAACAGAGGTCATTCTCTTTAAATAACAAAAACAATTGTTTCAAGTGTTTAAATTGCCTTGAGTGTTTCTAAACTAGACAATAATTATGAAACAATTTTCCACATCAAATCTAAATATCACTAAATATCACTTGGTGAGAAATATTGTATTTCCTCTCAAAAAACAGCAATGTTTTAAAACTAGGATTAAGTGGAACTTTATTAAATTAATTTGGTTTGAGTGAATTTAAAGGCAGCTGTGACAGAGTGTGGAACAAGAAACGAGGCAACTTAACTGTAATGGTCGACAGTTTATGGGATCAGCTACTGTTTAAACACTAAGCCAACAGTGACTGTACTCCCACTGATCACTCTGATCAAACTCTGTAAGCTTTTCAAGACTTTTGATCTCGCTTATATATTTAACCAGCCTATTCTTGGATGTGTTTATTAAGCTCAGCCTGCACTGACCTTTATGTTTTCTGCTGCAGAGGGAGAGCTGGCGAACGCTGCTAATAGAATTATCACTCCTACATCTAGAGCTGTTTATTTCATAACAGTTTCAACCGACCAGTAACTGTTAAGTCACCCTACAGACCTCTAATATTACAGATCATCCATTCAACCTTCTGGTTTAAGCTTTGTCAAAAACAATATCATCTCTTTTAAAGGTTTTGATCCTAAATAAATGTTCAATAAAAAATGCCTGTCCAAAGTTAAACATGTCAGGATTTACTATTAGAGGAACGTTATTGATCTGTGAGTCAATCTGTTGCACTGGAAATAAATTCCTTCTTTATTATGGGTGACTTTGAAAGGACAGAGCTGTGCTCATATTCCCTTTGGGCCTCCTACTCTTGATCGGAGTAAAGTCTGTGTTATTGTTTGGTATTCCTTGAACAAATTCCCTGTAAAACCCGAGACCCTGGCGTCTGATCCAAAGTGGGATTAAGACCACCGCCTGTGCCGCACATGGAGCTGTCTGTCAGGTTGTGTGACTATAGGAGGGCAAGAGAGGGGGTGAGGAAACTGCAGCTGGTTACAGAAACAGGACACATTTATACGCTGAGCTAAATTTACAAGCAATTTATCATTATTTCAGTAGTTGTAGATTTTATTTCAGAACTTATTATGTTGAAGAGGAGGCATTTAGTGATGTGTGAAAACAGTCCTGAATAGTGTTTGTGTAAATATGCAGGAGTTGGCAAGATGGCTAATTTCCACCCGACTACTCAGAACAGGAAACAACAGTTAAAATCTGTTTTTGTTTTCGTGTCCTATCTTTGCAGTCATAGCTGCACCATTTTATTAAAAATAGAAAAGAAAAAAGGAAAAAGAAGCTAGACATGTATCCTAAAACCAAAAGTTATTTAAAAAGAAAAGCTTAATTCCCTGTTCAATTAGTTGTTCTCAGTTCAAATTTAAGAGCTTTGCCAAAATTACATTGACCTTTCTCACAATTTTATGTTGTAACCACAAACCTAATTTAGGTTTAATTGAGAGTTATTGTTGTATAATAAGAAGAAGTTCACAATTGTGAAATTTTAGAATAGAAAACTGGAAATGTGAGTCATGCATTTGCATGACTAGGCTCAATATGGACAGAAATATTCTATCAGCAATAATAATTTGAGCACATCTTTTCTTGATCTGCAAATTAAAGACAAAAAAGAAAAAAAACCTTTTTTAATATTTACAACAATAATTAACACTAACCTATAATATATCACTAACCGCTTACAGGGGAGAAATAGTGATGTTACCGATTTATAACAATTAATTTTGCACTATAAAAAGATCAGGTTTATTACTTTAGAGCGGAGGTCCGCGACCCCTAGGGGGTCCACAGAGAACTGCATAGGGGTCGTGAAAGTTTTGGTTGATGAGACTTTTTTTCATATTCCCCCCCTGCAATATTTGTCACAAATTGAAATGTCTTTAAATCCACATTAACATGAATTCAACACACTGTAGTAAAGAAATAAACGGAGGCAGAAGATGTATTTCAGTCATCAATGCTCACATTCAGTGACACACAGGAGCTCTTTCAAGCTGGACACCGTTTCATTCACAACACCTGTCCCATCAACCAGGAATCAGAATCAGAGATACTTTAATAATCAAAGGGCAAAATTACTTTCGTTACATTAGTCCATATGTAATAGTGACTATAGCACCAGTTTGATATAACAGAATTTCATACAATATATGTAATTAGGGGGTCCCTGTCAGTCCCTATCAGTTTGGGGGTCCTTGGCCTGGAAAACGTTGAAGAACCCTGCTTTAGAGCATAAGATTTTGCTACTGATGACAGCAAAGATTAATGTTTTTTTTATTTTTTCCGTTAAACATGATAGTTCAACTCATTAGATTTTGCTGGAAACTAACCAACACGGGCCCCGATTGAGGACTAAAATGGTGGTATTGGTATCAGCGAGTAGCAACAAATAGGGCACCAAAACCATTTTGAGAGCCAGAAGTTTATTCAACTATTGTCACCCATTCCAGGTAGGCAATAAAAAGTTCTACTGGATTCACTTTGTATTAGTCCTACAAAGGTAGGC